AGGCCTTTTGGAGGGGCTCGGCTCGAATAATAAAGGATTATCGTAATAGTAAATCAGTTGACACTTTGAAGCACCAGCCTAAGAGCGAAAAATTCTCGGCCCCTACGCCGCAGGCCCAGTTTTGCCCTAAGGACCCTTCAATCCCCCCTACCTCCCTCCCTTCCAGAGGAATGCGCTAACACAAAAAGTTATCTAGCAAGGGTGCAAGCAGGAAGAACTTGAAATGGCATCACTTTTTCAGACAAATCCATATCTCTGGCATCCATAGCCGAAGTGCCCCTTCCGACGATAACACAACGTCCAGGTCAGGTTATATGAGTTTTAGCGTCATTCCCAGGATGCCAAAGCAATATGTTCCGTCCGCTTGATCCAATATGACAAGCTTATTTCGCCAGCAACTTTAATCGCCATCACTTTCACCCTCGAACTGGTTTTTGTTTAGGTTGGAAGGGAAATAGGTCAGTTGCACTCTGCCTAGCGTGTTCCGGAAGAATACTTCTACTATAAAGCATCTATCAGAATCCGAAGAATCACAGCAAAAACAGAGAATATTCCTCACCTGTACTGCACAGTCACCTTGCCATCAGACGAGCAGAAAGGGCAAGAGCCAAAGGTTGCCTGTCCTTTTCGACGGCTTTGTAACAGATAGTTTCCTACTGTAATACTTTTTCTGACTTCTTATAGGTGTACTGTATTTCGTAAAGTACCTGGAGGTAGCCGACTTCGGCCTACAAGAAAAGTTCGACGAAACTCGTTAATGTTAATGGATCTACCACTACGAATTTGCCATTTGGTGTTTTCATCAAGTGATTGCCAACAGCATGGTCTACGAAAATCACAGCTGAGGTCATCGGCAAGGATGGCTGAATTAGATGTGACAATAAAGGATGTCATTACGAACAAACCAGAAAACAAAGAGACGGATCGAATTGGACCTTGCAGTGCGAAGAGGAAGAGACCGGCACTACGCAACAGCATCCACGACTTGTCCTATCATCGGACCGCCCAACCCACCCCCTAAGCGCCCCGAAGAAATCGCATCGATATGCTGCATACAGAGGGCCGTGGCGAGTCATTCATTCATCCCCACGTCCTTACACCTCATCCTTTCGGGTGATCGCACCCATGCTTCGACCTACTAGTAATGCCGACGGTTGAAAGTTCAATGGACCGTTATGAACTCTGAATAGAACAGATGAATTTACGAAATAAATCAGATAGGAATCTCTCTTTTGTGTTAATTGTTCTCGGGATAAGCAGGAAGTGAGAGCTGGTGGTGATTAGCCCAAAAACGTAATGAGCGTTCGCGCCGATGATGGGCTTCGCTATCCACCGGGATTTATCGACCGACACTATAGCAACACTTGGTTTCTAAAAACACTGAAAATGTCTCAGACCAGGAAATTCTCGGGGAAATGGGCCAACGTAACCATTCTCCTTAAATCTCGGCCTTTTTGATGTGGTATCAGGGTACAGCATCGTGATGTGTGAAATGGTAGTGTAGGTACGACCCCCACCCTCCGAGAGAGGGTGTCAGTACGACCCTCCCGCTCCCTTCCCCAACACCTACCTACCATTCCTACGACATTCTTACATTTTCCAGTTTTTCACCAGAAAATTTCCGTCGA